ATCTTTACCTATCTATTTATATATGCTTCAAATAGACTCATGAATATAGTAGAACAGGGGACGAACTTATGAAAATGGGTCACACAAATACCTTGAGGCTCAGGACCATAGTCTTGGGGTACACTAAGATCAGATGGCATAACAAAGTCTATAAACACAATGTTCTACCATCCTAGTGTGGTGCATAGCAACTAGGGTCTTAAAAGCTGAGTGGCTATCTATGGTGCTACTATTGATGTCTCCCCATATGGAGCAATGAGGAGTGAAGAAAATCAAAGACACAAGGACTAATGGAGCATGTGAATCCCTGCTTCCACAATCCTGAAACCAGAACTACATGGTGCCCAGCTACCACTGCTGATTGCTCTGAAAAGGACCACAAGTAGTAGTCCTGGATAGAGTGGGGGAAAATGTGGAACTAAACTCAAAATCATAAAAAAAGACCAGGCTTACTGGTCTGATCAAGATTAGTGGAACCCCAAGACGATGGCCCTTAAGATGCCCTTCAAGCTAGAAACCGAATTTAAGCTCTATGACTCAACTGTCAGCAAACAGGCCTATAAGTGAACAATAATATCAAGAGGTGTGATAGCTGGAACCGTGTGTCAACTTGGCTGGACCACAATTGTGTGGTTTAAGCAGTTGTGATGTGGTTATTCCCATGATGGGATCAGATGTGTATGTTTTGAGCAGCCAATCCATTGAAAGAGAGTTTCCCTAGGGGTGTGGCCTGCTTCCAGTATATTTATGGACATCCAGGGAAAAGAAACACTCTTCTGTGGACTGGGCTTCTGTTGTGCTGCCTACAACTGTCCATGAGTGAACAATCCACCATTCAGCATGGAGATCTTGGATTTGTCATATGTCAGAGTCAACAGCCGGTATGTTGCCTGCCAACCTTGAGCTCCTCAGCCCCTGCAGCTGCGTGAGTTGGGAAAAGCCTCCAGATTGATGTTTGACCCAAGAACTTGGGACTTGCCAGCTTCTATAAGTGTGTGAGCCATTTTCTTAAGATAAATTTTTCTCTCTCTATATAAGCTTTACTGGTTTTGTTTCTTTAGAGAACCCAGTCTAACACAAGAGGGTATGCACTCATTAGAAAAACCAAGCATATGAGATCAAGAGGAGAGCATTTGTGCCCAGGGACAGAGCTAGAAGATGGGAGGGGATGGGAAGGAAGGAGGAAGATAAGAGGTAAGCACAGGGAGGAAGTGGAAGAATGCTGTTATGATGTGGGGATTGTAGGAAATGTCAAAAAACAGTATGTGTATTGATTGTTGAATGGAAAACCAATTTCCTCTGTAAGCTTTCACCCAAATCATAAACAAAAAACAAATCTTAACCAAAGAGTTTGTGCATGTAGATGAAACAACTGTTTCTTTAGTCAAACATGTAGAAATCTCAAAATACTGGATATTTTGGCCCATTCCAGATGCAAATTTTAAGAGATGACACAAGTTGATGTTAGGAAATTAATCAAAATAACTACTAACATGTCAAAAGGAGAGCGATTTAAGTCTGATCTTGTATTGTTTTCACTGTATTGTTTTCATACCAACTGTGATAGCTGTATGCCAACTTGCTTGGGCCTGGTTGAGTGGCTGGGCAGCTGGTGGTAGTTACTCCCCACAATGAAACTGGCAATCAGCTCCATGGTGGGACCTACCACAAGCAGCTGAGTAGCTACCTTTGGGATGTGGTCTACTTCCTGTACATAAGGAGAAGCCTTGCGGATAGTCTCTAGCTTATGGCATGCTTGGATACTGCATGTAGCCATGTCATTGTTCAGCAGGCTGACATGCTCTGCTGCCCTTGGGACTTAGAATAGACTCGACTTAATGGCCTGCTGTGTGGTTTGCTCACATCGGGACTGTGCCATTTTCTTTGTCCACCTTGGGCTTGTTAGCCTCAAGAGCCAGTAGCTGCCTGTGTGAAGAGATGCCTCTAGCTTCAGTAGGCCGGGAACATCCAGTCACCTGCCTATTCCATTACTTTGTTGTTGTTTTGTTGTGCCCAGGTTATGAAGGAGTTGCTCAGGGCGAGGAATATGCCAACACACGACAATGCAAAAGCAATAGGAAAGTTTATTAGCTAACTTAAGTTAGGGTCCTTGCTCTTACCAAATCAGTGGCTTGAGCAAAAGACCCCGTGCCCCAGTATTTTCACAAATTTATGGAAAAATATGGGGTGGAGCAGCACCAGGACGAGAGGGTACATATGATTGGTTGTTGCTAAGGGATTTAGGGCAGTGATCTAAGATGTTGGGGGACGTATAGAAACCCTCCCAGCTTCAAAGTCCACTTAGGGAAATATTATCTAGGGAGGATGCAAGGCTTAGGTATGTGGAAGACTTTCAGGAGCCGAGTAGATCTCCGATACGTGCTGAATCTGGATGGCTTTTGTGATGCGTGCTGAGTTCGGAGGAAGTTTCTGATACCTGCTGAGACTGGAGGGCAGATAAAGGCCCTAAGGAGTGTTTAGAATTCCAAAAGTCTTGTTAGTATTGCTGACACTAAAAGGTTTCTGGTTAAAGATTTTCCTGGAGGCTACTAGGACTCTGGCCTCAGACTCACAGTTTTATTAATGTCAATTATCAAGATGGGAAATTATTTATTTACATGTTTATTACCCAACTCTTTTGACTACAATGAAAACTGCATGAGGCCAAGGATTTTGGCTTTTTGTATGTAACTCCAGGTAGCAGTGAGGTCTGTATGAATGAGGAGAAAAGGAAGGAGTTAAAGGCAAAAAGCAGCTGGAGTAGAAGAGGTGCTCCAGCAGTTTATATAGTCATCTAGTTATGTCATTCGTTTGTGGGCTATTTTCATGTAATGTAGTTATTGTTGTTATGTGCCAAGTCTGTGCTCGAGTTGGACCTGACTCACAGCCACCCCTCCTTGGGTTTCAGAGGTGGTAGTAACACTGAGGTGGTAGTACCACTATGGTGTTAACCAAGGATGTCCATATCTATGCTAATTTTTCAAGAAACAAAAGAGGAAAACAAAAACCCACCTTGAAACTAAAAGGAATCCAGTTATTCAGGTAATTCTTCTTTAAGTTCCAAAGCAACAATATTTATAATAAATGAGGTTTCCTTGCTTATGTTTCCTCACATTTCAATTTTGTTATAATTTTATTTTTAGAACCAAAACATATGCTTGAGAGGAAAAAAAATTCCATTGTTTTTCATATATATTTCAAAGTGCAGATTTTTTAATGTAATTGAATATTTAGAATTTTAAAGTTTTAAAAGAAATGAAAAATCTATGAGGTGAAAATATCACAAAGACAAGGACAACAGAACCTGAAAGCTGTGTAAAGAAAGAGTCTTTAACAAGAATATTTAACTGTTAACTATAGAAAAATTTTTAATAGTAAATTTTGTAACATCTTTCATTACCAAATATAAACCAAATGGCAGAGTCATTATTTGAGTAACAGTTAATATTACTGCTTTAATACCTTCAAGAGTTTTGGTTTTGACAGACTATTTTTAAATAAAACTATACTGACAAAAATACAGTTATGTTAATATTGCTTTACTTCTATAGACTTTTCAAATTCCTGTTTCTTTCAGTTGCAGTTCTCTGCTTGACTTCCCCTTCATAAAGATCTGTTTGTTAAAGAACTCCTCTAAGGTAATTCAAAATTGCCTCTACTGTTAATATCCCTAAAAAGGCTTATCCTGGAAATTATCAGTGTTGTTCTAAATTGAAAAAAATATTTACTCTATAATAAGTAGGGCTGAATTATACTGTCTTCGGAGGGCTATGCTAGCTAACAAGTTTGCTAACATGAAGTATTTGAGAAAACACTGAAGCTTTGCTAGCTATCTGTTCAGATTCAGCTAGAGTAAACCTCTTGTTTTATTTTATGGTCCACTAGCACTTGAGAAAGTTCTATCCAGTTGTGAGGGATCTTTCTGACAGGGTGTTACAATGAATGAGATTGTTGTTGTTGTTGAACAAGAAAGGTAATGTACAGGCAGAAAGGTTACAGAAGACCGTATTACTTACTACCTCCTTTTTGTGTCCCACAATGATTATTGCTAAGAGATTTTTTTTGGTCACTTTTGCAGAATGTTTAGCAAGAAAAAAAATCTGACGGCAGCATGAAGAAACTGAGATTTGTACTACCTTATTTAAATTACTGCATTATGACTAATTTTAACAGCATAAACTAAAGACATTATTCTATTTTTATCAAAATCATTAAAATAATCACTTGAATTGTGAAATACAAATATAAAAGAAATAATCTTATAGAAAGAGCTCTTACAGAAAAGGGTGTTAAATGTACTGTAGTTTCAATATAATGAACTGAAAATGCTTCAAACATAAAATGAAAAAAAAATCTCTACTCAGGAAAACACTTACCATATGTAAACCAGCTTCTCTATTAAAAATATTGTATAAATAAAAATGACAAAACATTGAAATTGAGGAAATTTCCATGTCAGGAACAGTAGAATTATAAATTATAAAATAACGTATTAAGAATTAGAAAATTACTGGTTTGATGACCAATTCTTGAAAAAAAATTCCTACTTTCTTCTGAATCCAATGGTCTAACATAAATAATGTATTAAAAATATCAGAAACAAAAACTTTTGTTTAAAAAATTTTACTACTAATTTTAGACATAGTAAATGTTTTATTTACTTCCTTTACATGCTATAAGAATAATCTCAAAGAAAAGCTTTATATAATTGTACTGATAGCAACACTTTAAAAACAAATTTCAAAATATTATGTTAATGTTTATGACAGGCAGGTAGGAATTAAAAATAACCTACTTCAGATGTTAGAAACTGATTGCCTATTGTCTTATATGATGCAATGTTGCATTTGAAGATTGTATAAAGAGCTATATGATTTATACTTCCTACCACAGTTACATATACTAAAGAATGTTAAATGTTAATAAGTAAAGAATGTAAGTAAAAAATACTTGGAAAAACTTGTTAAATCTCTTTTATTTCAGTAGACAGAAGACTTTTTTCAATGTCCTGGATGAAAGGATTCTTGTTGCCATGGAGCTGGAAGAACAACAACAAAAAAAACCCAAAGATCTGAGATAAGTTAATGATGCAGACTGATAGTATCTAATAGCATACAGGAAAGAGTATGAGCTTAAGTTAGAGCCAAAGAGAGTTCAGACTGCACACCTGCCCTTCACTTGCCACAAGATCTCAAGAAAGTTATTTAAGGCTTTCCAAGGAGTAATTTTCTCATTTGTAAAGGAACAACAATACCTCTACATCTCTCTCAGGTATCCTAAGAAAATTAAATGGAATAAATGGTGTAATGTGCCTGGTACACAGAGCTCACTGAAGCCCCTTTCTTTGGTTTTACCTTCTGATAATGAATAGACAAGCATTATGAGCAAAAGAGTGACAAATGGGTCACAGAGATTTTCACATCTTTAAAGGGATTCAGACTGTGTGAAAGGTGCCCTTTATGGATTGTAAATACTCATGGAAACTAAAAGGTGTTTATAAGAGAGCATATGCCTAGTAATATTTTTCAGAGTGATGTTTGTTGTTGTTGTGTGCTGTCAAGTCAGACCCGACTCACAGTGACCCCTCCTTGTGTTTCTGAGGTGGTATCACTATGGCAGTAAATTGCCTAACCTTCCAAGGAGTGGCTGGTGGGTTTGAACCTACAGCCTTCTGGTTAGTAGTCAAGTGCCTTAGGCACTACACTACCAGAGCTCTTATTTCACTATATTGACTAACTATAATTTACTTAACTATTCTCTAAAGGTGGGTTTTACTGATATAAAACCTCTGCTGTTAAGTCAATTCTGACTCATAACAATCCTATAAGACAGAGTAGAAATGCCCCACAGGGTTTCTAAGGCTGTGTTTATGGAAGTAGAATACCTCATCTTTCTCCTCCCAAGCAGGTGGTGGGTTCAAACTACTGACCTTTTGGTTAGCAGCTGAGTGCTGTAGCTACTGTGCAACCAGGGCCCCTTATGTTAATGATAACCCAAAACCCACTGCTGTCAAGTTGATTCACATTCATAGCAACTTCCATTGGGTTTCCGAGGCGGTAAATTTTCCGAGGCAGAAACTGATTGCCCAGTTTTGCTTCAGTGGAGTAGCTGGTGGGTTTGAACCACCAACCTGGTTAGCAGTCAGATGCGTTAGGCACTGTGCTAATGATATTCCTTTTTTTTTTTTTTTAAATCTCTGACAACTAGATTCCCATCTGATAACACTATCCAACTCTAATACATGAAAACTTCTAAAAATCTGCACAGAAAAACAACTGCTATATGTGATCATTAGTTTGAATTCCATTCACATAAATGTACATACAAAGTTAAAAACAAAATCTCAAGCAATCACTAAAAATTCTGAAACTTACCGTAAGTCCAAGGAGCTTCTGGAAGCATATCAGGATTAGGAGGGTAAAGGTCTGCAGCCTGTGGTAAAGTCTGATGGGAAGCAGACTGTGGATAAATTGGCTGCTGAAAATTGTATGAAATTGGCATCTGAGATTGAAAATACCCATTTACTGGCACAAAGTCATTTGCTTGTGGTTCCTCTGCAAAGTAACCAAAGTACTGAGAGTGAAAAAGGTCAGAATGAGTGTTATGAATAGTACTTGCAACTGTAGTCAACATCCCAGAAGGAAGTGGCTGGGCTTCATAAGATGTTATTCCTTGGTATGTCTCAGTTATGGAATTGACATTGATGCTACTGTAATGATAAACAAACCAAGCATAGTAAGGATATGAAGTTCCAAATGAATGTTCAGAAGAACTATATATTGGGGCATACGCAGACTGTGGAAGTTCATTCCAACACATGGCAGCATTCTGAGTTAGAGCTTTTGAATTTTCACTGCTCTGCTGTTCAGAAAGAGAGTACTCTGCTGTCTGATTCACATTAAGGATTATGCTTCCAGACGCTCCATTAGGAATAGTACCGGGATTCAATGTATCCTTCATATAGTTTTCCTCTGACTCAATTTTTTCAGGCTGTGTTTCGTTTACTTGAGGAGCAGGAATTTTGTTCTGAATAAACATAGGTTCTGAAGAACTGGTAGAGTTGGTAGAGTTTTTAATAGGTGAATTTAATATTTCATTATCTTGAAGCTCAAGAACAGGGTCATTCAGTTCTAGATCTGTATGGGTATCTCTCATAGAATGGAAAGCAGGCTTTGAGAGCACTGATGTATTAGACAGAAAAGAAGCATTAGTTTCTGGTTCTATGTTTGAAGGACAAGATTTCTGTGTAAGATCTGGGGAAATATTAAGAAATTTCTGTGAAGGTGTCTCATTGTCTTTTGAAAATGTGCTATTGACACTGTTTTGGTCACAAACTGCAAAAAAGGCACAATCTTTCTTATCACTTGTTTTTCCAGCAGCACTAAAATTCACATTTTTCTTTACGCTATTGAAGTTTCTCTGTTGCCTAGTGAAGTCTTCTGAAATATCAGATGAAACATCAGTTAAATCTACTTTGCTCTTTGAATGTGATGTACAAGTGTCTTTTAAGTCCCTTAAAGGTGAAAGTGAGCCAGGTGGTGATCTTAGTATTTCAGTCTTTTTTGGAGATAGATGGTTTCTTTTCAGATTGTGAGAGGAACTTGGTCCTACTTTGTTTTCATTGTGGGGATGAGGTCTTGTAGTCCTATTAGGTGTAACACATAGAACAACTTTAAATATTCAGATTCAACAAATTTTTATCAGAAATCTATTTAAAATTTTTATTCAATAGGAATTGTTAAGATTTACATTTTCCTTATTCTATTGGTAATATAAAAACTAGTAAGCTAGTTACCATTGAATTGATACTGACTCATGGTGACCCTCTGTGTGTGAGACTATAATGTGCTCCATATGGTTTTCAATAGCTGATCTTTCAGAAGTAGACTGCCAGGTCTTTCTTCAGAGACACTTCTAGGTAGACTTGAGCTGTCATCCTTCTGGTTAGCAGCGAAGAGAGTTAACCATTTGCACCACTCAGCAATTCCACTGGCAATATGCAAATAGCATATTTTCCTAACTGTATTCTCTTGATTTGAATTTAGGAGCTCTGGTGGCACAGTGGTTAAGCACTCAGCTGCAAATTGAAAGGTTGGCAGAAAGATGTGGTGATCTGCTTATGTAAAGATTACAGTGTTCTATCCTATCCTATACGGACACTATGAGTCGGAATTGACTCAATGGCAGTGGATTTGGTATTTTTGGTGGTTTTAATTTAGATACTTTTCCTATGGAAGATGATATACTCCACATTTCAAACATATTTCCAATACTGTAATAAATTATTTTGTGCTTTGGGTATTTCTTGCTAGAAGCCTTTAAAACTAGGAAACTATCATTATTTAATTGTTAGTGTATTTTCTAATTCATGTGTCTCCAACCCCGAGACAATCTACTCATAAATAGCTTTTCTAGAGCTGGTTGTTGTTATGTGCCGTGAGTTTCCGAGGCAGTATCACTATGGAAGTAGGATTGCCCAACCTTCCTTCCGAGGAGTGGCTGATGGGTTTGAACCGCCAGCCTTCTGGTTAGCAGTCAAGT